CTCCTTTTGGCCTTCTCGTCTCTCTCTCGTTGTCTCGGTCTCCTCCAGCCCCTGGCGCGGCGGTCTCTCTCTCTCTCTCTCTATCTATCTCTATATCCGGTCTCTCTCTCTCCACAGGTCCCGCTTGCTCTCCGTCTCATACTCTTTCGTTCTCCTCGCGCCCACCTTTCTTCTCGTCGATATTCGCTACGAGGCATTAGATCGCCTCTCTCTCTTCTCATCAGCCTTGTCTCAAACCCACCCCTAGAGCCCTACCATATTGTGGACGTCGATCAAGAGCTGCGCCCGTCGCTCATCATTACACAGCTGAGTCATAATATTTTGCCCCCTAGGAATTTGCTCGGCGTCCGTTCCTGTCATAATTATGTACGCAAATAACACCAATATTGATACTTTCATGCTACTGTTATTTACGATGTATTACAATGTATTATAACATATCGCTATGTATTACATCAGGAGTATTTACATCACGTTTTGTTTTTATTCACTCCTGCTATTATGTTTCCAACTATAGTCACACGTTTCTAAAGATTCTATGCAGATTAAACAATATGATAGGTGTTGTAGACGGCCCAGAGGTAGAGAAAGGGGGTGAGGCATATCAATGACCTCTACTTATTCAACATACACCCTTCCATCTTACGACTTTCTCCACCTTCCCATCATCTTCCACCTCCTCCATCTCCCCTTCTTCACATATTGCTGTTATTTACGATGTATTACAATGTATTATAACATATCGCGATGTATTAATTACATCAGGAGTAAATTAAAACGGGGTTTTTACTCACTTCTGCTATTATATTACAAACTATAGCCAAACGTTTCTAAAGAGATTCTATGCAGGTTAAACAATATGATAGATGCGGTAGAAGGATATAGGCCCTAGGTAGAGAAAAGAGATGAGGTACCTCTACTTATTCAACATACACCCTTCCATCTTATGATTTTCTCCACCTTCCCACCATCCTCCACTTTCCTCCCCCAAGGCTCCAACTCCTCGTCTTCACCTTTACCCACTTATCTACCTTATTGATCTTCTCAACCATCGCCTCCCTTTCGCGTGTTTTGCTTCCTATACGTTCCCAAACTTCTACCTCGTCTACTTTTTTCGTTATATCGCCTCCTTTACTTCCCCCATCTCCCCCCGTCGTCTCCCCTCCTCTACTTTCTAACACGCTTCACATCTTTTATTCTACATTCTCTTATTGCCATTTGTACCCCTCCCTCACTATTTTCTTAACCTCTATCTTGTCCCCTCTATTACTTTCTCCCGTTCCCTACCTTCTGACAATTTTCACCTTGCATGGCTTCTCTCCTTTTTCTACATTTTATCATAATTCGGTTTCCTCCACCCTTCCAACTTCATTTCCGCATCCTCCCTTCTTTAACCTCCTTCCCCGCTTTGCGATCCCCCTCGTCTACATCTTTTATTTACGCACGCGCGCGCGCGTGTGTGTGCGCGCGCGCGCGTGAGTGAGTGAGTGCGTGCGTGTGCGTATAGTAGGTAGGTAGGTAGGTAGGTAGGTAGGTAGGTAGGTATAGGTAGGTAGGTAGGTAGGTAGGTAGGTAGGTAGGTATAGGTAGGTAGGTAGGTAGGTAGGTAGGTAGGTAGGTAGGTAGGTAGGTAGGTAGGTAGGTAGGTATAGGTAGGTAGGTAGGTAGGTAGGTAGGTAGGTAGGTAGGCAGGCAGGTAGGTAGGTAGGTAGGTAGGTAGGTAGGTAGGTAGGTAGGCATAGGTAGGTGGGTAGGTAGGTAGGTAGGTAGGTA